CTGCCTTTCCCCAGAGAGCTCACCCTGCCCACGGCTTCCCTTCTGCCCCTCTGCCCACAGCCATGATGCCACAGCCAGCTACAGGACAGGAGGATGGCCCAGGTCCCACCAGATCTGCCAAGACTGCACCAGGGGAAGTAAACAGCAGGCACAGAGACATGGCAGGAGGGACTGATGGTGACTAACAATGAATGAATGAGCAGAGCCAGGGCAGGGGACCTCGGGATGGTCCTGCAACACATGAGAGGAGAACTGATGGGAATCCACCTTAGGAGGCCAGACACAGGCTGCTCCAAAACCCAGATGACCACAGTGAGGCCAACTGCAGTCCAACAGCCACAATGAACTAGGGGCTGGAACTCTGCAGAGAAGTCCTGGCAGGCTGGAGCTGAAGGGCAGGGCACAGTGAGAGAGCCACACCTTGACAGGGGCCACCTGCCTGGGGTGCAGGGACAGCTAAGGGAGCAGCCCACTGTGGTTCCCTCCTCAGCACAGCAGAGGCCAATGTCACAAGAGCATCTCAACTAACCTAGAGTATACCACTGGGCAAAATCCAGCACTTTCCATGATGAAAGGAACCAGCAAGTTACTCAGAGGAAGAACAGCATAGGGAGGCTAAGTGTGAGGCCAGGGGCCTGTGTGCAGCTGAACTGTGTACTGGGGCTGCCCAGAGCCCTCACCCCTGTCCCCCACAGCTCTGAGGACAGAATTGGAGCACTGGGTTTACTGTCAGGCCTGCTGGGCTTCAGTCCCCTTCAACATGTCTCTGTCTCTTTTCTTCTCAATGGGAGTACTCATCCCTGCCATAGGACTTTGGTGTATGGGACCCCTCTTTGATTTTAAGGCACATGGTAGAGAGTTCCCTGAATCTTGCAGAATCTTTTAGTGGTCAGACACGCTGAACTCTGCTCCTGCCTCCCCACATTGTGCAGCTGGGTTTTACAAACTAAAACCACAGACCTTGGGTGTGGCTACTGTAGATCAGGCTCCAGCATGCACAGGGCCCTGGGGTCCATCTGGACTTCTGAGCTCTGCTGGAGGATTTGTGACTTTAGGGACTCCAGGATGAGGCCTGAATGTGCTCTGTCTTATGAGATGGACGTGAAAGCTTTGTGTCCAAGGATAGAATGATTAGTGTGCATAATTGTCTTCCCAAAATTACATGTTCTAAGGTTGTTCTGCAGCATGGAGGGCTGTTGGGGAGTGGGGGATTCCTGAGGACATGGGTAGTTGAGAAATTTATGTATATCTCAGTGGACATGTGCTGCAAGTTGGTGGTCAGACTCCATCTCTTCTTCCCTCCCTTTTGATTCCTAGAAACAGGGTGAGTGGCTGTCCCCACAGTGGGCTCTCTACATTGTCCCTGGCACACCCAGGAAAGGTGTGAATGCAGTGGACTCCTCTCTTCATGGACTAGAGCACTGGAAGTCATGACCAAAGGAAGCTCCTATTCATGTGCTGATGGCCTCAGGCATCTGCACAGGGGTGCACAGCTGAGGAACCCAATTTAGGTTACAGTGCTAGGAGAAAAGGCCAAGCCTGAAGGACAGTCTCTTCCTGGTCTCAGTCTCCTGTCCATGTAAGAAGCTGGCCTCACAGGGGCAGAGCTGGACAGTGGCTGTGCTGGTGAGGAAGGTCAGGAGAGGGAGGGGCGGGGACAAGAGGCACATGGCCATGGCTGACAGAGGAGCACTTGTCTGTCCTCACCCAGAGGGTGGCTGTGGGCAGCACGTTCACCCTGCAGACCCAGCAGAGCCAGCAGGAGTGATCAGGAGGGCTCTCCTCCCAGGAGGGAGAGTGTGGGGTGATGGGTGGACCACGTGTCCTGAGCTGACCAACAAGTCATGCTCAGGCACCTGGACCTTTCCAAGTGAATTTGAGCACCTGGCATAAGTTTTGAAACACCCCAATATATTTATTTAGATCCTCTGAAAATCTCCCTGAATTTGTTCTTATTTGTTTTAATTGTGGGGGGTAGGGTGTCATCAACTTGATTTCTCTTCTTCAGTAGGTGATTCCTTAAGGCCTTCTCTCCTGGTAGACATTGAGGTTAGGCTGACAACACATGAAAATACGGCAGTTTCCTGATCATTTGTAATTTCTCAGGATGTCGACTAGTGGTCAATCTACACGCTGACTTGAGAGAGAAGCTCCCACCTGAGTGATGGAAATTTTCAGTTGTCTCCCTCATCACAGAAAACTCCTTATCCAATATATTAGGGACATACCCCTAAACTCGAGATTCATTATGGTCCTGAAAACCCATCTCTCATCACCTGGCTTTGCCAAAGTTATTTCTGGGGCTTCCTTTGACAAAGTGCCAGGGTCCCAGTTTCCCCTTGTCTGAGACCCTGGGAGGATTCGACTTCAGGGCGTTACTGATTTCCTCCCTGCCACTATAACTCCTAATTATGAAAAAAAGAGGAAAACTGTATGTGTGTTAACCTCTTGTGCCTAACTGCTGTCCTGTAGACTAAAGGCATATCCTGAGGGTAAAGGGGACATCTATTGGTTGTTAAACAAACACCCTTTTCCTGAGGAATTTACAAGAGGGGTTGGTTAAAAGAAAGCCTCCCTCTAGCAGAATAAAGAGATCACAGCACATTTTAAGCATAGGAATGGTAATGGGGACATTTTAAAACAGACTAATGAAAGTTACCTATGTGCATGATGGGAACATGGCCATCTTCTTACTAATCTCCCCATGTCTCTCTCTCATTCCTACAACCTGAATTGCTAGTGTTTCTGACTGGTAAAGGAAGGGAGCATCCAGGAGGGAGTAGATGCTGGGTTGGGAGTGCTGTAATTGTAATTAAAAATGTAATTGGGGCTCTCCCTCAGTGCCATTCTTCTACTGATCACCCTAGGTACCCCTTAGGGTGGTTAGGAGGAGGTTCAAGAGAAGAAACCTTAGGATTTTTGCCTGAGTGTAGCCCAAGCCAGAAATTCCACAGTTGTTCCATACTCCTTCCTCCACCTCCATGCATCCAGGGCAGATCAGGACTAGGGACACTGTGTACTCACACCAAGTGCTCTCTGGCCTGGACAGAAGAGTAGGAAGCAGCTTCAGCAGAACCTAACATGCTTACTCTGTATTGAACTGGTGATTGAGAGCTGCCTAGGCTGGGAAAACTTTCACCTGAGTCTTGAAGAGTGGTGGCTGCATTAACAGCATTTAAATAGCCAACAAGTGCCCATCATCCTCCAAAATGAAAGAGACATGAAGCTGCAACTCAAACAAATGTGGGGTGCATAGAGAAGAATTTACCTCACTGTAGATCTCGGTATAACCTCCAAATATGATTTTGCTGATTATTGGTGAGGAGTCCTGCTTCCCGACATGTTAAGGTTTGAACATTACAGAAACACCTGAGGCAAGCATATAAAGCAGGTTTTATTTAGAAAGGGTGACCTAGACTTCTCCTCGGAGGGAGAAGGGGCCATAGCTGGTATCCTGGTATCTCAAGAAGCAAGGTGTTCTGCCCTTGTTATAAGTCCTAGGCTTCCTTTGTTCTCCTGACTTCCCCCTTATCTTCTCCTTCCTGGGTACCTGACTAAGCCCAGGACTAGGCCCAGGAATGCATGGGAGAGGGCCCAAAGGTGGGAAACAGGTGGGCTGAAGGGGAAGGGCAGGGTGGAGTAGCCAAGGACACATTAACAACCTATATCAAGGGGCAATTCCTGGGTCAGGTTACCTTGCAACATTTTGGAGCAGGGGCAGGTTCCTGATAAGGGTGGAGGAAGGGCTCTGAAGAAATTAACATCTCAGTCCCTCAGAGGACATGCTCCAACTTTTCAGACTCACTCCATCAGCCTCTTTGATCCGACCTGAGTCAATTTACCTATCTACACTGACTGTCTAATGCTGGCTTTACTATGATGTGTAGACTAGTTTGGAATTCCTGACCATGCTCTGAACTCAGTCGTGCCTGGCTCTCCTTGACCAGATAACTACCCTCCCTGAACCTCAGTGGGACCTCAGAAATTCTGATGTTGGAGTCTGAATTTTCTCCCTACCTTGAAATATTAGCCTATGTAGGTCATTAGCCTGCTATCTGCCCTAGTATTACTCGTGCCAGATCCCTGTTAGCTGTAAGGTCAGCCAGTGGTGACCAAAATGTGGCAGATTTAAAAGGCTGATGAATGAGGCTTTAATGAAATTTTGCTCCCAGGAGGAACCCTCAGACCAACAGAGTGGGTAAGAAGAGGGTCTGAGGAGAAGCATTTGGCTGGGAGGGAGGGGTGTTGACAGGACTGGAATTTGTACTGGGCTTAGGCAGGAATGGAGGGCTTGGAAAAGGAAAAGAGGTTTTTAGAGTCCCTTGTCCTACTGGGCTTGGTCAGGGGTACCTGGCTAGGTTCCAAGACTGGCCATGAGACCCACTGATTGACAGATGGTTCCATCAGTGCCTGATCAATGTTTGTTTAGTGCACACAGTCTGCTTGGTGCTTTGTTCCTCAGTCACCTTCACTGACCTGACATCCAGGCCTTTTTGATGATATAGGGTGTGTGGATATTACCTGGCTACTTCCTGCTGGGTAGGGGCTCTGGGGGCAAGGATGTGGCTTGGGTGTTGGTTCATTGGGAAGTGACCACAGGGGTGTAGGAGCCTCTGGTTATAGGTCACTCTGGTGATTTTACCCATGCACTTTTGTGTGAACCTGAGGAGGCAGGGAGCAATCATTAATAGAAGTCCTATTACTAATATAGGAGTGAGAATGGGAGTCGGCCACATAATGAGGGTTGAGTTTAGCCAGCCTGGCCAGGGGTCATTTTAATGTTGCTTTTTAAGTTTTTCACCCAAACAAAAGAGGATGTTGACATTCTTTTTGACCAATCCAGTTTCATTGATACAGTAGCAGAATTCTTTCAGGAATAGGCAGGTTCCTCCTTTGTCTGCCATCAGGAGATCTAGGGCTCCATGGTTCTGTAATAAAACTTGGGAAATAGATGTTATTTGCCTTTGTAGGGAAGTGAGAGAGGAGGCTGATGCCTCTACCACTTCCTGAAGTTGTTGTAAATCTTCTAAGTAGTGGTTACTGCATAACCAAGTCCTCCTGCCCCCAGTCCAGAGGCAGCAAGTAAGGAGGCCAGAGAGAGTCCAACTACTACTGGCAGAAAGATGGCCCATCTTGTCCTGGAAAGGGAGGAGTAACAAGCCATGTTAATTTGCTGGGAGCCATTAGCCAAGTAGGTATGACAATTTCCTTGCCAGCGTACCCCATGTTGCAGTGACATTGAATGTACGTGACCTTGCTCAAGGACCAAGGCAGATTAGGGTGTTCCCGGTTTTAAGATAATCGTGTTTAGGGTGTTCCCAGTTTAGGTTCCAGGTTTAAGGTTTAAGATTATTCCTGCTGGGAATAGGGCGTATCCTGCTGCCTGAGTTCCCCTTAAGTTCTCACGGGATTCAGACAATATATTTTGGAGATAGAAGCCCAGTGGGAGTGGATTTGGGCAGAGAACGTGGATTTCCCCAGAACGTGATTGTAGATGGCTGGTGTGAGTTCTGGAATAAAGAGTTGCTGTTTGAATCTACAAGCTGTGTGGTGGCTCGTGATTGTGCGCCCAGCCAGACTGTGGCATTTGGCGTCCCGTGCGGGGAACTTCTGAAGCTTAGAGGTAAGTGAAATTTCTCACCCTTGGGGAAGAGAGAAAGAATGGGTGAACATTTCAAAAAACAATGTGTTATTGTTTTGATTTATTTTGTTTTTATTTCAAGTTGCCTGTTCTTAGAACTTTCTCAGGCAAACTGGGGAAAATGGTTGACTCAAGGTTTGAAGTTGTTCGCCTCCCAGCAAGAGAAATTGTTAGAGGAAGGGGGCACCCCAGTGAGACCAAGAACAATTAGGGCATATGTTGATACAATACAAAAATGTAGCCAATGGCTTTTTAAAGATGAGTTATTAAGTATATTAATGAGACCATCATGGTATCCTGTAGAAGGATTTTTCTTCAACAAGAAAGAGATGGCTAGTTCTGTTTACTATATTTGTCTAAGATCTTGGTTTTTACAGACATCTGATTAATTTACAAAGCTGAAGTGTTAAAATATCAACCACTAAATATAAAATCAAGTACTCTTTACTTATTAAGTTCCATAAGGTAATATATTTAAACATTATGTGTGTTTTCATAAATTGGTAAATGGAAAAATGTTTAATATTGCTTTGTGTCTGTGTCTTTGCTAAAACAAGGTTACTAAGTGTTAAGATTCTATCATGTGTAATTTATATACAAAGAGTAGAAAAATTTTCATTTGGGTTTCAATTATAGTATTATAGTATCAAAACATGAAAGTCTTTCATCTTATTAAAGTGGAGTAATTTGTCTAAATCAGAAATTTTATAAGAGTTGTTTCAAAATGTGAATTTATAAAAAGGGTTAATGGTTAAAAAAGAGAGAAAAAGATTCAAGATGTGGAAATATATTTTAATATAATAAAAGGTTAAAGGAAAAAGAAATGTTTCTAGATGAGATAATCTCTGTGTGGTAAAGTAAAAAGTTGTAAAATGTCATTTAAAAAGATTTTGAGGAAACTAGACTTACTTTAAAAGCTTGAGAAAGGAAGAAAGAAGAAAAAGGTATTTGTACATGGCAGATTGAGACAAAGCTTCTCAATGGAGTTAAAAAAAAAAAAAGCCTTTGGTTGAAGGGCAGCCATGTAAACTAACATTGAAGCAATTTAAACAGAATCTAAGCCTCGTTTAAAAGAGTGAAGTTGTAGGTGGTGAAAAAGTACATTTAAAAGTACAGTATAGATGATAATTAAAAGGCTTTAAAAGGTTAAATTGAAGGTGGTCGAGATACCTTCATGGCAGAAAAAAGATTGCTTTATTGCATCATTCGAAGCCTAGTTAATCTTAAAGGCATTACTTTAAAAAAAAATGGGAAGATAATAGGATAAAAGATATTTAGATAAAGAAGATTAAAAATTTAAAGTGAAAAACTTTAAAGACAGAAGTATAGAAAGTTAAAAAGAAAAAAGATAAAGAAGATGTAGGAAGATAGAAAAGATGTAGGAAGACAAGAATTTTAAACCCACAAAATAGGAAAAAAAAAACTAGGAGGAAAATAAGCAACTAAGGGTAAAAATACAAACCTTAGGAAAAAAAAAAAAAACTAGAAGATAGAAATAAGATAGAAAATGGTTGAAAATGTCAAGTAAGGTATTACACAGATAGAAAATGCAAAAAGCTAAGACAACTATTAGATACAGACATACTTATTAAAGCAAAAAGAGGGAATTGGAAAGGGGTATATATCCCCCAAAGATAAACTTAAAATAATGCTTTTTACTCTAAACTTTTAAAATTTGGATTCATAGGGACTTAGTGCTGCGGAAAGACACATGTATCCAAAAAATGTACATAAGCCTAAGGTACTTTGGAAAGATATTCTAACAGGACAATGGAAAGGTCCTGACCCAGTGATTGTCTGGAGTCGGGGTTTTGTTTGTGTGTTTCCACAGGGAGAACAGCAGCTGATTTGGATTCCAGAGAGATTAACTAAAACAATTTCTACAGATGGAAAAGAAGATGATTTGACTCAAATCCATAACAGCTGATATCCAGAACTCCAGCTTGGCCATTCTTACATCTGCGACAGTGATTAACTAGTGATGCAATTTTTATTTCCTTGCCAGCACACCCCATGTTAATTGTGGTAGTGCTGACATATCTTTGCTGATGGTGTCACCAGTGATGCAATTTTTCCCAAGGAGCCGTCAATTGGCTTGGTGTCGTGGCATTTCTGTATCCTCCTCCCTTCTGCTAGTGATGGTCTAAAATTTGGGGGCCAATGGCTTATGCTGGACCGGTAGTCAGTGACGGGTATGATCCAATTGCAGTGGTATCAACCTAAGACAGGAGGCTGACGCCTAAAGGTCAGTTTTCCGATGACGGGTAAGAACCATATGTTGAATTGGACAACCTACCAGTCACGGTCCATAAGCCACATTAACCTCACTCCCCCACTGGCACCAAGGCCAAATTTGGGGGCCAACAGAGGTGAGGCAAAGAACCTCACCCCCCCAGTGGTGCATAGACCTATCCACAAGTATGGCTGTATGCTGGACCGGTAGTCAGTGACGGGTATGATTCAATTGCAGTGGTATCAACCTAAGACAGGAGGCTGACGCCTAAAGGTCAGTTTTCCGATGACGGGTAAGAACCATATGTTGAATTGGACAACCTACCAGGCACGGTCCTTAAGCCACATTGCTTGTTGTTTAATTAATCCGAAGGGGGGAGATGCTGGGAGCCATTAGCCAAGTAGGTATGACAATTTCCTTGCCAGCGTACCCCATGTTGCAGTGACATTGAATGTACGTGACCTTGCTCAAGGACCAAGGCAGATTAGGGTGTTCCCGGTTTTAAGATAATCGTGTTTAGGGTGTTCCCAGTTTAGGTTCCAGGTTTAAGGTTTAAGATTATTCCTGCTGGGAATAGGGCGTATCCTGCTGCCTGAGTTCCCCTTAAGTTCTCACGGGATTCAGACAATATATTTTGGAGATAGAAGCCCAGTGGGAGTGGATTTGGGCAGAGAACGTGGATTTCCCCAGAACGTGATTGTAGATGGCTGGTGTGAGTTCTGGAATAAAGAGTTGCTGTTTGAATCTACAAGCTGTGTGGTGGCTCGTGATTGTGTGCCCAGCCAGACTGCGGCATTTGTGCCCAGCCAGACTGCGGCATTAATTCAGCCTCACTGTACAGTTAATTGAGGGACAAGGTGGAAGGAACACAAAAGCAAAGGGCATGTTGAGGCTTAGATTTTTTGTTATGGTACTATTGCACCAGAAAAAGAACCCCTGCAAAGCAAAGTTTGGGGAAGTAATTCAAATGACCTTGTCACAGGGTGCTGAACCAGAGGAAGTATAGCAGCTGTGGATATTTCCCTGATGAGTTATAAAAAAGAGATACTTCCACAAAGGCTGGAGAGGGGTGCCTTGGGGTATAGTTGAGGTACTGGGAGGAAGATCAATGGGAATCACAGTTAATGGAATACATTCAAAACCCACACAGAGGGAACAGTCTGAAATGTTATTAACTTTGGATAAATTGAGAAGCTGAAGGCCATGATATATTAGGGCCATCCATGAGAAAGGGTCAGGTTTAGGAAGCGTAACTGCATCCAGTTGGTGTTGAGTTCTTTCTCTTGATCCTGGATGGTCATGTGAACTTCAGGAAACACTTGTATTTAAGTTTTCCATATTCTTATAGAGGCTAAGCGGTGTTTGGCAAAACCTCAAGATTCCATAAGCTGAGAGCAAGTGGTGCCATCCTGCTGCCATTTCACTTGGATTCAGAATTGCCATCTACAGGTTGGAATAGAAGGATTTAGTAAAAGAAGAAGAGGGTTGATGAGAAATCTTGAGTTTGGTGGGCCCAGTGTGGTGGAAGTCCAGGATTGGACATTTGGAACAGGCATCTTTTTAAGGTGGGAGACATGGTAGCAGGCAGAGTGGCCCAAAAGCAGGAAGGGAGGGTTTGGGACAGGAAAAGGGGTTTTTAAAGTCCCTTGTCCTACTGGAGTTGATCAGGGGTAGCTGACTAAGATCCAGGATTGTCCAGGAGACCCCGCTGATTGACAGGCGGTTCCGTCAGTGCCTGCTCAGTGTTTCTTTCCTGCATGCGGGCTACTTGCTGCTTTGTTCCTCAGTCACCTTCATGGACCTGACATTAGATGTAAGTTCCAAAGACACCCAACTTTGTAACTTTTTGCACTTTAAAACTCTCCCTGCACTTATTTCAGATACTGTCCTCTGTCCTGTTTTTTTTGAACAGGTAGTCACTGATCGGCTCTCTTGTGTACATGATATAAACTTGCTTTAATTTGGTTTCAAATTGGAGTAGATGGTCTTTTCTTTGTGTCGTGGTTCAACAGTAGGCCTCTCTTGTTCTCCTGCCCTGTTTCCCTTATTTCTCTCCTTCCTACTTATGTGATTAGGCCAGGGGGATGCTGGGTGAGATGGCCCAAAGGAGAGAAGCCATGGATGGAGAAGGCTAGATGGAGCAGCCCAGGACACACACTTAATCACTCTGTACCTCCCTGCAGGGAGGGGCAGTTCCTGGAACAGATTACCTTAGCAACAGGTTGGAACAGGGGCAGGGTGTCTTGATAGGGAGGAGGAAGGCCTCTGCAGGTATTTCAGTCCCTCAGGGAGCCATCCCCAACTTCCCAGACTCACTTAAATTTCCCTCCTGGATCTGACCTGACTTGATTTATACAGGCTGCCTGTCTAATTCTGGCTTCAGGGTCCTCAGAGCTCCATTTTTTCTATGGACTGACACTTGGATGAACTGAGCTTTCTCATGCTGGAGCAGATGGTGGCTTGGGACAATCTCAAGGGCACAGGGGATGCCCTGGTGTGTGGAATTCTGATTTCATGCCATGTGAAGGACACTGAGTGGCAGAGAGGATCAGTGTACAGAGAGCTGGGGCCCTCTATGTGACAATCATCCTCACGTCACCTGTGCCAGGTGTGAGCCTGGTTTCATGGATCCCACATCTTGGTCTCCCCAGTCTCCTCCATGACTTCCTCTCCAGTGACCCATGTTGCTGTTTAACATTACTCAGTGCCTCATGCTTGGTTCAGATGACTCCTCCTGCAATTCATGGAAGACTGACATTTCTGACCAACTAACACTGGAGCCATGGCCAAGATTGCTGTGAGTTCAATTTGAATAAAAAATCCTTATCTCTTCTGCTTTCTCTGTAAGCACTGCTCCAGACTTCCCCATGGGAAACCTAGAGAGCAGTAGAGCACAACTCTTGGGACCAGCACAGCACCATGCACAGGCCTTGCAGGGAACATGCTGGTCAGAAGGACATTTGTTCACAGCATGAGACAGAAGGAAGAGGACTGGTATGAGGAGCACTCTAAGAGCAAGCACCTGACAGCACGAGCTGACAGTTATCTTGGACATGGGAGGACCAACTTGCTGCCTTTTTCTTCTGTCCTTCTGCAAGTAGCAGAAGATACCTGGTGATAAAGGTGACAGTGAGGTCACACAGACTGAGACAGGGCCTATATAAGCCCACAGAGAAGCACAGCTCCCCAGCGAGAGGCTCTAAGGGAGACAAACACCCAGAGACTCCCTGAGGCCTCCTACCATCACAGGAGCACTCTCCCCCAGTGGTGCTGCCCAGGGAGCTGGCCTAGTAACAGAGCCCTCTCCTGACACTGACTGCTTGACCCATCAGAAGGGAGGAAACACTCAGGGAGGCCACTGCAGACACATTCTCCCAGCAACAGCATCCATGCTCCTCCCTGTTATTGCCAAACCCATATCCACTCTGGTTTAGCTACCTGCATCAGACCATCCAGGGACTACTTTGTGGGCCCAGAGACACCACACTATCAGAGACCATCCAGAGACCACCTTGTGGGCCCAGAGACAACACACTATCAGAGACCATCCAGAGACCACCTTGTGGGCCCAGAGACACCACACTATCAGAGACCATCCAGAGCCCACCTTGTGGGCCCAGAGACACCACACTATCAGAGACCATCTAGAGACCACCTTGTGGGCCAAGAGACATCACACTATCAGAGACCATCCAGAGACCACCTTGTGGGCCCAGAGACACCACACTATCAGAGACCATCCAGAAACCACCTCATGGGTCAAGAGACATCACACTATCAGAGACCATCCAGAGATCACCTTGTGGGCCAGAGACACCACACTATCAGAGACCATCCAGAGACCACCTTGTGGGCCAAGAGACATCACACTATCAGAGACCATCCAGAGACCACCTTGTGGGCCCAGAGACACCACACTATCAGAGACCATCCAGAAACCACCTCATGGGTCAAGAGACATCACACTATCAGAGACCATCCAGAGATCACCTTGTGGGCCAGAGACACCACACTATCAGAGACCATCCAGAGACCACCTTGTGGGCCAAGAGACATCACACTATCAGAGACCATCCAGAGACCACCTTGTGGGCCAAGAGACATCACACTATCAGAGACCATCCAGAGACCACCTTGTGGGCCAGAGACACTACACTATCAGAGACCATCCAGAGACCACCTTGTGGGCCCAGAGACACTACGCAATCAGCAGAGCAGTGTCTGTAATGTCTGACGGACTTGCTGGCTAGGTATAATGGAGATAGTACTGTTCTGTGTGTGTTAAGAGTGTGTTCACTATAACTGCACTTAAAATGCACATGGCTCTTGCTAAGTGTCACCAACATTGCTCATGACAACTGAAAGGAACCTCCCGGTAATAGGGCGCTGGGTGAGAATTCCTTCCCAGGCAACTCAAGTCCATGGACAACTGCAAAAATACAACAGCTTTGAATGTGAGCTTGGCCTGGCTCCCAGGGCTGAGGAGGTGTGACCTGGCCTCCAGAGCTGGACACTCTTGCCATAGAAGACTGGAGCAGGACGAGATTCACATTCACTCTGGGGCTCAGCTCTCTCTCCTGCTGCTCCCAACAAGATGAGTCCAGCTGCACATACCTCACTGTCCCTGGGAGTCCCTGTGGGGGACTCAACTTGTCCCTGAAATCCTCTGGGTCTGTGGAAGGAGTGCTAGGACTGAAAAGGAGTGAATTATATTCCAGATTTGAATAATTATGTGAACACAAACCCTAATGTTATGATTAACTCTAAAGCAGTAAAATTGATGAGCATTACACAAGAAAGTCTGGACGATACACCACAGCTGTGGGGCCAGCAGCTGCGCTCTTGCACCCAAGAGAAAGAGGTCATGGGTAAGGGCATTGGACCACTTCCAAGTACCCAGGATGACCCAGGAAGGAAGTAGACCCTTCCCACCATGGACAAGTGATGGAAGTCCCTACTGGCTCTGGCTTGGGAATCCTGTTACTTCCTCATTCTGATGTATTCATATGGATGGGGTCATGTGTCTCCTACGTCTGGCCCTCCACTTGAATGAGGAAGCAGGTAGTTCCTGTTCACTTCCCTGGCAGTTGTACAAATAGCAATAGCAAATTGGTTCAGGAGGATTGATTAGGAGGGAGGCTATGGCCACAGGACCAAGGAGAGGTCTTGACTCTGACTCTAATGGCCCTGGTGTCTGGAGTCCCCTAGATGTGTCCTGATTGCCCTGGTGAGGGCTTCCACAGCAGAGAGCTCTTGGCTGTGCTGGTCATGCTGGTGGCTGTTCTCTGGGCCAGAGTGCAGCAGGGCAGTGATGGAGGACATCTGAGTCACCCTCTCAGCAGCTCCTGGCACAGTCTCATCACACTCCCTCCCTGGATGTCCCTCAGGATTCCCCTGTGCCCCTCCTAAGACTGTGGACACTTCAGGGCAGGGCCACCTGGAGTCTCAGGCAGGACCTGGACAGTCAGGCTCCTGTTCTCAGGTTCTGGGGCTGGAGTGGACAGACTTTGGTTAGGACAGGGCTTACTGAGTGGGCCGGTCAGAGGCCCCCTGCCACTCACTAGTACTTAGCTGCTGTGGTGACCCAGCCTGGCTTCCTGTCCCCCTGCAGGAACCTCACTTGATCCTTAGCCCCACACCTTCCATTAGCAAAGAACAAAACTGCCAGAGGACCAGTGCTGAGTCTCAGGGACTCCTTGGGATCCAGGAGGACCATAGGCCTGAGGTGTCCAGGACACCAACCTGGGCTAG